TTTATACCTGTGCATAGGGTTGTCTAACTATTCCCACTGACTGCGGTATATATCTTCTGTTTGTTGTTTTCCTCCAATTGCATCTTGCATTTTTCTCATGGGTTTTACAGTACATGGAATTCCACATGATGGGAATGCAAGTCAGACTTCATAAATTTTGTTTCAATATTTTGCAAAGTGAATTTGACTTTAAAAATCTATTAATATGTTTTACGGTGTGACCGTTGGGGCGAGGGCAGTTGTACCATCAAAAAGCTATATAGCAGCTTACACTTGTACCGTTGATCCGCCTCTTCAAACGTCAAACCGCACGAGACGCAGTCTAGACTGTGACGTCACATGACGTCGGAATTTACGGAGACAGCCGAGCGTCTGGTTGAACGAGACTAAAGATCTTTTAAGCTCTCTGCAAAGAAAGAAAAGCAAACGTATCTCTCTGTAATGAATGATTATCCTTGGTCTTTTGTATGTTTTGGAAGAATTTCGCATGGAACCCTGGTAGCGAAGGAATTCTGGGTATGTTTCACAAGAAAATTTGCCTGACGTATGTAAAAATTTCATTCCGAATTTTCTTGTTCTTACACGTTAGTCTATTGAACTCGCTTCGCGCCGCTCGCTGCGCTCGCTAATATGTTGACGGTGCGACCGTTGGGGCAAGCGCAGTTGTTTTAATTTTAAGATCCGTCACTTCACATGCTTCAAACAGCACATGACATTTTGAAACGTCTAGACTGTGACGTCACATGACGTCGTATGTAAGCTGCATTTTTCATAAACGAAGTTTAGAAAGTGCAAAATTTTAACGAAGAACGTTTAATCTACTATCTGTACGCAATATATCCATTAAATTAAGGTGAGTTTATTTTTTGTGAATTTTTAGTTGTTGTTACCGCGAGAACGAAGTTAAGAGCAAGAACAACAAGCTTGCATTGTGGGTCTCGTGGTTACTGCGGAAAAAAATTCATTTGGATCAATGTGCAAAGTCCGAATTTTCTCTTAGCCCAGGTGTTGTCGTTAGAGCTCGCATTGGGAGCGGCGCTTCGCGCCGCTCGCTGCGATCGCTATTAATAAAGATCTACATCATTATCAAGTTGAATGCTGAGAAAGCAGTGTCTCCTTCATTTGATGACCTACTTTGTCATTTTTTTTTTCTGTCGTCTGTTTTTGCCACAAGTTGTTATAAACTTCTTAAGACTTCAAAACAGGAGAGTCAATCAACAAAGGGAAATAACACCAGTTTAATTTTTTGTCTTCAGTGCAAAAGAGTCAGCAAAGGGAAATAACTCTATGATAATTTTTAGGAAAAGTTATAAATTGAGGGGAATTGGAATATGACTTTTAACTGATTTCCCCACCTCAAATTTTTTTGCATCTTTTAGATCTAAGCTCGATTTTACTACAAAGACCTTTTGTCTAAGTTTCAATTGCCTGCAAAAATTAATATGCATATCAAGAAATATGCACCTTTGTATTCATTTTTATGACAAATTTATGTAAACTGATCTGTATCATATGAAAAACCTTGGGTTAAATTGAATAAAATTTAGATGCACAAAACTTTGATTACTTAGCTATAAAATGAAACCCATGTTATGTTCATAACTTTCCTACATTAAGGAAGCACGGTACTATTTTACATGGTGATGACAATCAGGTCAGCTTTGCCATAACAAAATATTTCAAAGTCGTTGCTATGGTAACCAAGGAGGTACTGTCCAAAATTTACCCACCAATAGTCTTTATATAGGGCACTCTCTAATATTATAGAGATAAAATAAAATTCCATAATAGTGCGTGGCCAAGCATTTTCGGTCCTTACAGAGAATCGATGTTTAAAATCAGCCTCTGTGATTCAGACTGGTTTTTACCATTTTGCTTTTACTCATAAAATTCATCTGGCTTGGTATATTTCAAAAAAGTTTATATTACACTTTTAGCACCATGCTTACATATTCTGAAATTTATTTTCATTTGTAAACCTTTACTGAGTGTGATTTGTCCACATTTGTAATTTTATTGAAGTATCAACTAAAATTTTCCAAGTATCATTTCTTTTATGGAAGAAAATACAACAGGTTATTGAGTAAATGTAATATCAGTTCACTCTGTGCTCCTTTAGAAACATTTCTGAAGAAAAAGAGGGTAAATGAATGAAGATTAAACAATTTTACAATGATTACTCTAGTTGTGTACTTTTTGGGGAAAATATGGAAGGTATTTCATTCTCCAAGTCTAAGGAGAAAAATTCAAAGAATTATCCACTTTTCGAAAACTGTGACATGATAATAAGTCTCCTCCAAAGAAAAAAAAAATGTTTGTATCATCTGTCCTTAAGATTATATCAGATATAAAACCACATATATATTTTTTTTATTTTGCCAGATATCTCAATGGCATATTTGTATTTATGGAAAATGAATTTTCTTTTTAAATAATTGTTGACAAGACTATGTAAAAACTGGTAGGTGTACAAGCAATATTTGGAGTCTTCCAAAGACCAGAGAATTAAACAAAGGTTGGACAACTAGAAAAATCAATGGACGTCACCAATATTCTGGCCAGAATCTAGGCTCAAGGTAAATTAACCACAGAAATATAAGGGTAAAGGATTCAAAGTATGTCAAAAAGAAAATGGTGTTTTAAGAATAAAATTAGTGTCCTATTTTTCGCATAAATTAGATAAAGGTTAATTTTGTATTAAAATCATAATGTCATGATCAAAAGGTCCTCAGTGAGGTCAAGGGAATTTTTGAGTAGGTCAACCTTAAAGCATGGTAATTGCCTGAATTGAGATACTAAAACTACAATAAAAAAGTTCAAAGGTCACAGTTATGATAAGGAAACATGACTTTGTCTATCAATCAAGTCAAAAGACAAGGCAAAAGTAAAGATATGGGTCCATGTTTTATTCAGGTCAAGGTTCAACTGAAGATCGAGGAACTGACTATGTGACATTGCACTTACATGTACATGTAGCACTTTTCTGAAGGAATGTCAGGATTTTGGAGCATTGAAGTCAAACGTACAAAGAGGAGAAAAGACACTATAGCTTATATTATAACATTAAGGCAGCAGTGGTCACTAGTAGTGAACAGAAAAAAAAACCCAGAATATCCTTTAATGAAATAACATATTTTATGTGTATTAAGCATTTTTATAGTGTTATGATATCTATTTGAACCCACCGTTCACGGTAGCTCATCAACTTCCTAACTTTTCAATCATCAACTTCCCTTACTTATGCAGCAATATACCTTCATCACCTGCATAGGGGTTTATATCTCTCAGTTGATTCGATAAGTACAATATAACTAACTTGTGAAAATAAGATGTCTGGTGATCAACAGCATTGAACCCAATAAAAGGTTTGAAATAACACTGTGAAGAAATTATCTCTTACAAAATATTAAACCCAGGTTCAAAATTTTTATGGCCATAATATTTAGAACCCTCTGTAAGACGCTCGATATCAAAATATTATACCCAAGGATGAACCATCAGTATTCATGGTCAGTTTGATCAATTTATTAATAAACTTTATTACCTGGAGGGAGATTGTGTTACATGAACATATAGTACAGATCTTGTAGTTACTAAAATAATTGTTTTCCACTTAAAATTCCACATTAAGAAGAAACGGGAGAAAGAGAAAGAAGAAGGAAAGAAGAACTGAAGAATAAACAAGAGGAGAAGAAAGCTGGGGAGGATGGTTCAGCTTGTTCTGGGTAGGGACAGAGGAAGAGGAGGAATCTCTAGATGAGCTCAACTCAGAAGGTACAAGTTTAATTAGTTTTGTAAAATAACCAATTTTCATAGGGGTTTGATTTTTGTTGTTTTCATGGTTTAAGGACACCTGTGATATGTGGCCTCCCAATTTTTTTTTTAATTTAATACTATGGAATGGAATCATAAATACTTAGGGAGGGGGGAGGTGTAGGTCACCCTAATCCAAGAATTTACATCCCCAAGACAGTACAATTTTGTCAACATACATGTATTTATTTATTGAATCTTCTGTATATATGGGCAACCTACAAAACTACAACCCCATGAACCAGTGATTTCACAGTATAAAACAGTTCATCATTTCTTCAACAAATCAAATCACGATTTTTTTCTTCAACCACAAAAACTTGACCTCTTGAATATAAGTCATTTTATATTAAAAGTTTTTTCTCACATCACCATGTGTCAAAGCCTTACCACTATTCAGCATATACATGTAGTACTGCCAAATCATTATACAATTATAATTATTATGCTGACTGTTGTATTTTTACTCCCAAATCTTGTTCACATACGTATAGCCATCCTGAATAAATCTTGCATTTATATATATAACAATCGAGAGGAGACTGTAAATTTCAGCAGAAATTGTAACATTGCAACTGTTACAGTTATACAAATATCTTAGACATTTAGAACAGATATTATTATACCTCATACAAATAATCACTAGTACAAAAGAGTCTGATTGGCCGGGACAGTCACGTGACAGTCATGTTTGGCCTGCAACAAAACGTCGTGTTTCACGATTGTGACGTCACAATGCAGCTACTGAGATGGTTACTACTGCATTAGATTGCTTAATCGTTGATTGATTGTGTCGATTGAAACGTGTAAAAATATAAATATTTAGAATATTGTTTTCATGGGTGGGGTTTGAATGTTTCTAGTTTGTAAATCACCCAGGCTTCTCACAAAGGATTTTTTAATGATGCACGGCTAGTGGTGTAACTTACATCTGTTTCATATTGTTCCTATCAAATGTTCACTTTATTCATTGAATTTTCTTTATATTTCCCGCATTGTGCTTGATTTGGTATAATAAACAATTTATTGCATGAATGTTCGGGAGACATGAAGATTTCTTCGCCCATGAAAAATCTTATTCGGGCGTTGCCCTCCGAGAATATTATTTTTCATGGGGAAGAAATCTTCATGTATCCCTCACTATCAGCAATAAATGTATATTGTTCTATAATAACAATACCATAAAAAATAAATTTTATCACATATTGTTTACATGTATTTGATTTCCTTCACTCTGCCTCTAAACTCAGCCACAAAGAGGTTGTCTTTGGTGTCTACACATAAACCAAATGGAGACTGTAGATCACAGTTATCAATGTAACGGAGAAACTGTCCGTCCTGATCTAGGATGTGAATACAGTTGTTGTCGCCGTCTGCTGTCAGGATCTGACTCTGGCTGTCTGTTGTAATGCCACGTGGATCAAAATTGGATGATCCCTTCTTATTAAAGAAATGATAGAATGATTTCTTGTTAGTAGAGGGATGACCAGTGTATCTAAATCTGAGTTTACCTGCCTGATTAACCACCACTACAGCATGGGCATCACGGTCAGCCACACAGATATCCAGGTTTCTGTTCTCACTGATGCATTTAAGGTAGCCAGATGGATACAGAGGTTTACCTTTATCATCAAACTGAAGGGTTTGTTTCTCTGTATATCCAGAGCAACGGACAACTTTTGAATGTTCATTTTCACCACTGTACATGGTAACCAGGAGGTCATCAGAGGAGGTACTACAGACATAGTAAGGTTTCCACCCCTGTAGTCTGATCACTTCCTGTATCTGTTTATTCTTCACAATGTTTACAGTTCTTGAAATAGGGTCAGTATGAACTAGATCTCCACTCCTTGTCACTGCTATATCATATGGTATGTTCCCAGACTTGGTTTGGATTGACTTCAGTAGTTTGCCTTGGAGGTTGTAGAGTTTCATGATTTTGTCTCCTCCACGTGCCCAGATTTCTTGATCACTGAGACAGGCAACACTGAATAGTCGGTCAGACCCAGTGTCTATGGTGGTGATGAGTTCTGGTTCATCAAGCAGTGGTTTGACTGGAGGACAGAATACGGCGTCTGGTGTCTTCATTGTGTAGCCATGTTCTTCTATTATAAGGGATAATGGTGATAAAGAACCAAACAACTGAGAACATTGATCTTGATTATTATTTCCAGTAAATACAGGAAACATAACTATCAGTTTGGATGGAAGTTTGGTAAATTTTTCTGAATTTATCTCATAGGAAAGTGATTTAATTACTTCTATTGATTGTAAAATGTCTTCAGTTTCTAATATAGACTGTTTGATATCAACAACAAGTTTCTTTATATTATTAAGATGTTTATTGAGGGCATCTCTGTGTTGGTTTCTCATCTTGTTGATTTCTTCCTTGTTTTTCTGTATAACTTTGTCAATTTCTTGGTGCCATTCCTCCCCATGTGTTGTGACCTCTGATGCAAGTTTCTCATATTTTCCATCTATTTCAGCTAGCTGGGTTTCTATGTCTGTAGCAATATCTTCAAATGTTGACTTAACTGTTTCCTTCAGTCTTTTTCTTTCCTTTTCAATACTTTCTTTCTTGGAGTTCATTAAATCCTGTAGACATCTGAAATGATGTCTTTTATGTTTCTCAGAAATAACACATTTGGAACATGCTAGAATGTTGCAGTCTTCACAGTGCATTTCACAGTTCTCTTCAGAATGGGTAAGACACTGAGGATACACAAGTTTAGATCTTCTCAATGCAAGAGGCACCACATCATGCTTCTTAGAGACATCAGAGATGTGCTCCACCACACAGTCCTTACACAGATTCATAGGACATAAGTTACAGTGCATTTGTACAACCCTGTCTTTACACAGGTCACATCTGATAATATCTTGAGCACAAAATTTGGCATCCATTTTATCAAAGTCTTGAAATTGCTGTAAAATTTAATTATCAATACTTAATAATCGAATAATACAATTTTTAAAAAGCATGCACTGTATAAAATTGGATATAAACAAAAGAGGAAGGAAATGAATTTTTTACCTGCTAAATCTATAATTGTATCTGTGACTGCATGAACATGAAGCTATGGCTGCGATGATTTATCTGATCAGTGGAGATAAAACAAACCATGTGAATTTTTTTTATCATTGGGATAACCATCTTGTACCAAGCTTACATAAACTTTGCTAATAAATTGACACACTTTTACATTTTATCTGTTTATGTTGCTCTATTTCTTAATCCTAATTTGCTAGTGTGTAGGTACATAATATAAGCTCAGTTGTTGACATGAAGTGTACTTTTTAGTAGCATTTTACAATTTAGTAGGTATTTATATCGAATATATAAATTCATCTGAACAATTATGAAATGTTTACAACATTTACATTATATGCAGAAAGGCAAACATCCTGCTGGTTAATGTATCAACATGTTGATAAGATAGTCCAAAAAAAATTAAATCTCTTTTATTGTAATTTCAAGAAGTCAACACTTGAAAAAATATCTCAAGAGTTCTTTCTTAAAATTTTTATTTTTTGATATGATTTTGGGATTAAATTTGAATTGATGTGTAACATGGATATCAGCTAGTGAACTGTATTGATTTATTTTGTGTTGTACCATGTACAAATTATGTTATCTCTAGCTATGTTGACTTTGATATTTGCCAAGTTGTGGGAAATGTTAGTTCACATCAACTTTTTCTTCAACATATACTAGCCTAAATAGATTTAACTTTTCTGATATTAAACATATTAGTGCAAAAACAAAAAAGATGCTAAAGCTGTGCTCATGCTCATGATTTATAACTTTTCAATAAACAAATTATTAATTCTGTAAAACAAACAAAATCTTTTTAATGAATCCTTATTCCTATATCTGGAATTTGTGACAGGTGAATGTCATTGCACCTTAGTACTTTTCATAAATTATTATAGTTGTGTTAATGATAATAAATTAAATTGAAAAATTAATACCTAAACTACATGAAAAGTACACAATTTCTAAGGCAGTTATAGGTATCGCTTGCTAAAGAGATCTATTGTTTAATGTGAAAATCTAGCAGTGGAGATTAAATTAAAAAATATCGCCTCATTCTCTCAAAAAAGAGAAAAGAATAAGATAGTAGGGAAGGGTAATCTAAGTACTGTTCTCATCAAGATTCTTTACTACAAGGTAGAAGAATTTCTCAGCAGAGCTAGCTATTTCAGTTGAGTGCTGTGTCATAATGTCCTCATACAATGTGACATAAAAAGGCATTTCTGATGCCATTATGAGAAATAAGAAGCCTTTGTTTGATGTTTCTGGTACTAATAGCATATTAAAAAGATCTCTATGTGGCAAAATCATTGAAAAGTTACCAAAACAATTTCTAGGTATTCTGCTATACTTTTAATTTTTGTGTGAATGTGTGTTACCTTAAGAAATTAACAATATGCTTCATTCTCAAAATAGAGTAAAATTTGAATTTCACCATGTAGACATAAGATGGAGATCTAAATATACCTGGTATTCTTCAAGAAGAACTTTCAGCTGAAAAAAAATGTCCTTCAATTTCATATATCGCTAGTTTATTTCCCACATATATTACAGAACTTCTTTCGTCAGTTTTCTTATCTCATTTTAAAGACATCGAATGACAAATAATGTTCCCTACAATATACCTTTATGCAAAAAAGTTTGGCTACCAACCACGCAAAAATAATTTTTGCGTTCCCTGCTTCACAAAACACCCCATTATGCGCTGATTATGAACTGTTTATACGTTATAATAATCCCCGCGAAACCACAGCGTATGACCTTTCTGTACTTAATTATATCCTGGTTCCCATGTTCATACTCGCCAAGGAGAATGTTTTGCACCCTCTTTATCAGAGACGGTTTCTGTGGTATGTTCGGTATAGTATTTTGAACTGAAATTTTCAGGTGTTATATTTTCTGTAGAAAAGGAAGCTATACACTATTTCAGCATAATATGCTTACCCTTTATAACTTTCTTACAACATTTAGGTGGAAATAGTTGGGTATTGATTGCATCGAGACAAACTTACAGGAAGCATAAGAATATGTCTTATTATAACATCATATTATATATCCTACATGACGGAGATCACTTAAAACAGGTTGGCTCTACATTTTATTTAAATATAGGTACAATTTTATCACTGAAATCTGGATCAAGGTCATATACATTTTAACTACATATCTGGTAGAGGATTTAAACCTTGAACTTATCAAATGTCAAGCAAACATTTACTATGTTAATTTTAGATTCATAACATCAAATAAACCATGTTAAAATTTATAAACTTTGATAAAAACATCAAATAGGAATAAAAACACCAAATAGGAATAAATTCTTTGATCTAGAAATATGGGAAAATATTTCACTTCTTCCTATACTTGTAGCCATATTGAATCAATCCCGCGATAAACTATAAATAACAATCTTGGCTAGAGTGTATATTTCAGTAGAAAGTGTAATATTGCAACTGTTACAGTTATACTAACACCTTAGACATTTGGAACATATATTGTTCTGACATAACGATTAAATTCTTAAAGCAAATACTCAAGGAACTTTTTATATATCAATTTTGATTACAAACAATATATATTATGCTCTGAACATTGTAAAAAGATGTTTATAATGACATACAAAAATTCATATTTAATTTATTTATTTGGTGTTTATAATTATATCCCTTGTTAATTATAAAAAAAAAAATCATATATGTCACATTGGAGTAAATTTGCAAATATATATAGTTATTAAAAGAATAATTTTAATCATGTCCTCATTCACTTAGCATTCCTGTCTCAATGAAAATATTTCAGCAGACATTGTTTACATATATTTGATTTTCTTAACTTTACCACTATGATCCTCAGCTACGAAGAGGTTGTCACTGGTGTCTACACATAAACTGCATGGACTGTATAGATCACAGTTATCAATGTAACGAAGGAACTGTCCATCCCGATCTAGGATGTGGATACAGCCATTGTGACCATCTGTTGTCAGCATCTGACTTAAGGAGGAGAAGGACCTTGAGCTGAAAAAATACTTGTCATTCAATTTTTTTCATATTTTGTATATTTCTAATTAAGTGTGTCCCACATATTTTAAAACAGTTATATCATTAGGTTTCTTGCCTTATTTTGGAGATATTCATTGACAAATACTATGCC